TCGTATTACCTGCTCAAGCAAACCGGCATGCTCATTCCGAACCGCTTCTAAATCGGCCTGAAGCTTCTCACTAAGTAGCTTATAAGTATCCTTCTTCTTGGAAAGCTCCTGAGTCTCGGCCTCGTGGCGCTTGAACTCTTCCCGGTATCGGAGAAAGGCCTCATAATGAAGCATCGAGGCATGCAAACACAAAGGAAGATGTTAGGATTATTCACTATTGAATCTAAGTATATAACAAAGGGATATGCGAAATTATCCGATTCAGTGCCTGTTGAGCTTCGTTGAAAAGGAAGGCGCCTCTACCTCATTCATTTTGATTTGATCTTCAGCGGTCACCAAGCACCAAAGGTAACTAGCAATTTCTATCGGAGCGGAAAGAACCCGGGCGTCCTCCGGGATAGACATATAAATTGCTCGCCTCCGAGTAGGATCAACACTTGGGGCAGGGAACTGATTCACTAAATTCGGGCTCGATGAGGATCCGTCAGCTCCTGGGGACGGTATCTTCCTTGGTACCGGTAGGTCACTCAAACCGGTAACATCCTCCGAAGCAGTGGAATCTAGGCCATCGAAAAAATTATGAAAAGAATCGGCTACTCCTTAGGCCCCTTCGCTGAGGTTACCTTTCAACGCCTGAGCCTCGTTTATCATAAAAATTGTAAAGGCAACCCAGAAAGGTCAATCACCCCAAGCTCCTCTTTGGGTGCGTTATCTTCTGACCGGGATGTACCGGTCACATTTTCTTTCTAGACCGCACCGGCTCGGGCCAAATCGGTCTCAACCCTCTCGAAAACTTCGACCGTTGTTTCTTCTACAGCCTCCATGGCTCGAGGCATTTTGAAGCCGCTTCTCACAGGTGCTGGTTTTCTTAGATTTTTGCGCTAGTCGCTTCCTCGGTCTTTTCCTTTCGGGGACAGAGGGACTCAGAGCTTTTCTTTTCTTCTTCTCTTTACCATGTTTCGGAATAGGGGATCAACATGTATATCATCGTCAGCTGTGGGAGGCCTCATCTCGACGTCCTTTCCTAAACCTACAAAATGAAAATATAACGGATCAAAGATTGATGATGAAAAAATGGGATCAGATGCATTATTAGGGAAAACCCCTTACCATGATTACGGGCCTCCCATCGGCCCTTCGAGAGCTCACGCCATAAATGCTCGGAGTAAGGTTTTTGTGTCGCGAAGCCCTCGACCCACTATTTAAGTTTAGGAATGGGGTTCGGTATTTGGGCGACAACTGCATTACATAACATCAATGAGAAATCAACTGAATGAAAAGTAATAAAAAGAATACCAAAGGCAGAGCTAAACTTACGTTTCATGTTCCATTTATCGAAAAATAGCATATTCGCATCCGGGATTAAGTCCGAGGTCCTCACTCAGACAAATCGACCTAACCAGCCCCGGTCTCGATCCTCGTCGATACTAGAGAATAAGGTCTTGGTGGCTCGGTGTACGAGCTTAATTAACCCTCCTCGGTAATGTTGAGGGCTCTACAAGCGCATGATATGGTCGATGGTGAATGGGCATCCCTTGACCTTGCTCACAAAGAATCGAAGCAGAATAACGATCCTCCAAAATGAAGGATGTATCTACCCGAGCATCACATCATACCTTTTGAAAAAGGCTATGATAACCGGGTCCAAGGGACCCAACGTGAAAGGGTAAGTATAAATGATTAAGAAACCCTCCACGTGGGTGGTGATTAATTCTTCAGAGGTAGGAACCATTACGAGTTTGTCTACCCAGTTGCAGTCCTCTTTGACTTTTTCGAGAATGCTTTCCATGATCGTACATATGTACCTCGAGAGCGGTTCGCATCGACCCGGTACCATGGGAGTATTCTAAACTTTGAAATCGGCCATAGTAGGGCACCTAGTAGGGATGTATGATCTGAGAGGGGGTTCCTCAATAGCAACGTGAGGAGCGTTTTCAGAAGAATGTGCTTCTTTTTTAGGAACAGACTTTGAAGTTTTTGCAATTTTTATAAAAAAATGAATGAAAATAGATTGTTGATAAGGGGAAGCTTTGAGGTTGGCAATGAGAAAACCAGAAGATAAAGAAGATGAAGTTCTTAGAACAAAAGAAGGATGTGAGCGTAAAAGTTCTAACAAACGGATTAAAGGGTATTTATAGGTTCCTCAAGCGACGGCTCATCTCCCGAGGTAGCCGACCGTCGACTGACATACATTTAATGCCTCGAAGGCCGGACTGACGGGACGTTTCCACTATTCTTATCACCTACATCATGTACCCGACGTCATGATTTATCGAAGTAAGGACCGAGTGTTCATATCGTTTTTAATCACTTATTCTCCGAAAAATGAGGGGACTATCTGTATACGGGTAGAACCGGGCTCTATGCTTAATCGAGGCATCTGGAACAATAGATTGAGGCTCGGCACCTGCATACGAAATCAAAGTTATAAATATGACCAAGCTCGATATCGAGGATCGAAGTTCGAACAAGATCATTTGATTTGCCCTCGAATTTATCGGGGGTACGACCGACCCCGCTTCTAACTACCTCGAAGAAAAGTTTTGCCAACTCACACGATAAGTATCCGTGATTCTCGCCACTGACCAATCATTATGGCGAAAATTACGAGATTAAGTAAAAAAGGTAGCCAACGGTCTACATAGTTTCCTATAAAATAATGTCTTAAAGGTTTATCTCCCTGTATATATAAGAAAGGAATGAAGTAAGTCTATAACACATTGTAACATACTTAAGAGTACAAGATGCCATTTTTTTCAACTTTGTTCATATTATTCTGGCTTCAATAATATCACATCTAAATTCGAAAGAAATTAAACTTGGGAGGCTTAAGTTGTTCAATCTGCATGATTTGTATTTATTTTTCTACTTATTCTTTCATATTAAATTTGATTTCTCGCTTTGTATCAAATTAGATCACGTATCCTTTAAATCACGTATAAATTCAGTTGTTATCCGATTTTTAGGGCAAACAATTATTGAAATAAATAACATTGATAAATTGAGTATGTTGCACTACTCCTCGAGGTTGAAGTCCTCCATTTTTTCATGATAAAAAAAGATGGTCTTACTGGGCATCAGTTGGAATAGAAGTATATTGTTTCATCAATTAGAATTTGCTTATCGGGTAAGGTTCATATGGCATTACCACTGATTTTCTCACGTATATTTTGTTTGATAGGACACGAACAAGCTTTTGATCATATCATTCTTGTGCCTTACCACATATTTTTCCATTTACTAAAGCCCATTTCATCCTTTGTTTTATTCTTTCGACTCTTAATATTATATATGTTTTTGGAGATCAATTAGAGCATTTCTTTACGAAACTCTGTCAAACTGTTTATTTTTTATTGATCTATAGCATTAGATATTTCTGGGAGTCAGATCTAAAGTTGTGTGTTTTTAGTAAAAATTTGAATCTTTTTGTTTGCCTTTTATTGTTGCCTTAGTAAGATTTTTTATTTAGACTTGTGTATCATTTTTACATATTTTTATGATATTTTCATTTGACTAGAAATATGCAAGTTAATTAATCAAAAATGTGGTATTCATTCCTTTTTAGTGAAATTCAATAATATGCTAATAATACAATAAGATATCTAAGAACATGGGTATGCTTTATACCTTTGTTGAATTAGCAAGTTAGCTACATAACTTCACCATTCACCATTTTTATCTTTGTCAGAAACTTCATTTTTTTCCTTTATTTTTATCGTTTGAGTCAAATAATCATCAAAGATACTTATATGGTTTTAAATAGTTTACATTTTCTAATAATGGGTACACGCGTAACGTGCCTCTAAGTAGCGCCAACAGTATTGGAATTTTTTTTTTGACCAGGGAACTTTCATTTAAATTTAAAAATTTATCTCATCCAAGAACTTTCATTTAAATCTAGAAAAAAAAGTTCTTTGTTTTTAAGTAGGAGCCCCACTGTTTTGTAAGAATGTATTTAAGTACACATTATCTAACTCTCATGTTAATTTGTTCGTCATAAATGATAGTTGGATATTGCAAGTTTATCACATTATACAAAGGGGGGTTTGGTGAGTTATGCATATACATGATTTGTCAAATATTCTGTTGCAAATTACGCTTTAATCTTTATCATCTACAACACTTTCTTTCCCTATTTCCCTTTTAGCAATTTTCTTTTCAAATTTCTCTGTGTGTTGCCTCTACCGAGTATTTAACCACAATATTATCTATTATTTATTTATTATCTATATGTTATTACTATTATACATATGAGAAGCCTGATCAATGTAAAAAGTTTGAATCATCAAATGTCCATTACAAATTGAATGACGTTTTATCTTTTAAAAATAAATATCTTCCATATAAAATATGTCTTGAAAATTTTAGCTTCATAACTAAATATAATCTTCTTCTAATTAAATGTGTTTTACAATCTTTTGGTATCAAAAAGCTTCGAGGTATCAGATCAAAACAATATTCTCGTCCAGCTTAATACGAGCTAATTACATTCTTTCTTAAATTTGATAAAATTTTCTCTTCAAATATTCTTCCTTTATAGAGTTAGTTAAATACGAACTCACTAATAATTTTTACAAAAACTCACTCTTTTTTTTACTTTTTAAAAATTTATAAGTCAAAATTTCTAATAATATTTATATGATTATTTAAATATTTTTAATCAATAATTCATATGGATCACACGTTCAACACGCGTGTCTAGAGTCTAGTTAAGGAATAAGAAGGTGCACTGTATCGATAAATCTCATACAAATAAAAAATTAGAGTACTAAACTCATACTATATATTTTTCGATTTTGAGATATTATTTTATCAATGATTTTTATAAGTAAATATTATTATCTAAGTTTTATATTGAACTTTGTACTATGTTGAAAAATATTTTAGGAGCCTACTATTTATATTTTTATATTAATGTTTGACTAGGCTTGAAAGTATATTTAAATCGATTAAATGTGTCTTTCATGCGCAAGAAAAAAATTGAGCAAACAGACCAAAAGAAAAAGAAAAATATTTATTTCTTAACCTTTTCCCTTTTACAAAATCCGTCCCTCTCCCCGTCAATAAACCAAAATCCTCCTTTGCTGCCCCTCCGCCAAACTCCGCCGTTACTGTCGCCATCGCCGTCACCGGCGCACCTTAACCGCCGTGACTCTGCTGCCTTCGCCGTCTCCCCTGTATCTTCCACCACTAAATTTCAGTAAGTTGCTCAATTTCCAGAAATAATTGTTTTTTACATACTTAATTTTCGGTTAGATTAAAGCACTGGTGAAAATTATGTAGTCTTCCTTGCAAAAATCTAGCTCCCAAACTTCCACTCTGGCCATTTTGAGTCTGCACAGTAAAAGTTTTGCGAAAAATAAAATAGAAGAAACAATTTTGGCTTTAAAATTTGTTAAAACGGGTTTGGGCTAAATATTTGCACTTGAATGAGCTTCAATACAGATTTTTTGATTTTTATGATTGAGCATATTCAGAAAATGGGGTGTGAAAAGGTTCAACTTCCAATGCTGCACTTTTATCTTGTTATGTTATTTTGTGATAATATTGTTGAAAGTTTATATTTTGCTCTAGATTACCCTAGTTATTACTCCCTATGTAAAACAATAAACTTTCAAAGGGGCATTGTTATGCCAAATAACAATTAATTTCCCTGTTTGGGTGATGTGAAATGCACTTATGAAATTTCAAAGGAGTGTAGGAGTAAGTTCAAAAGATTTGAACATATAAAATCTAATGATGGTTTCACATACTTTGATCATATAAAATCTAATAATGTTTTCAGATAAAATAAACAATTGACATATTAAATCCCCGTCTCTTCAAATTGTTAGATACTCTAATACCAAGCAAAGTCTTTTGGGATGTCCAAATTGTTGCTGATGTCCCCTTGGTTTGTAAAACTTTGAAGTTATAAGCGATCTCTAAAGGTTAGACATTTTATTTAAAAACGGAGGTGCAGCTGTTAGTAACTAGTAAATACAGCCTCCCATGTCATGTGTTTTGACTGTGATTATATTCAATTTAAGACCTGTGAATTCACTTGATGCCTTCATAAATGGGGTTGATTTGGAATTGCATATATAGTTTGTTGAAGCCACTGATCCTGCTTCCCTATGTTTCATTCAAAAAAAGATGATATACATGGTCTGTTTTTCCTTAGGCAATTTTATAAAGTTACATATTCTTTAGCCAAGCTATTTTATTTGCTGATTTGTCTTGGTAGTTTCTATCATTTCAGTACTTAATCTGGCATATATTATGTTATTAAAATTGTTGCTCATTAGGTAAAAAGGATCATGGTGGGATTTAAGAATAGATATATGGTGATGGAAGTTTTTTTGGATCCAAATAAAGATACTGGAGTAGATGAGCCCATCATAATCACTCAATTTAACTTGACCAAAGCCATCAAGGATGTTATTCTGACAAACTTTGGTGAATGTGGCCTCGCCTCATCCACGAATTCATTTCAAGGTTAGTTGATTAGTTTTAGCTTCTTCTTTTTTTCTTAGCATGGAGTTTTCCTGCTTTCCTCTTCTTGGAAGTTTGGTGCAGTTTCAGAAGTTCATATTTTGTGCAGTGAAGTATGTGAATCCAATTACAAAACTTTGTATCATACGAGCATCAAGAGAGGAGTATCAAAGAGTTTGGGCTGCAATAACGATGGTCCGGAGTGTAGGGAGTTGCCCCGTGGTGTTCAACCTACTAGACCTAAGTGGTGAGTTCTAGTGTTAAAAAGGTTCTTAAGTGGAATGCAATGCTCTCTTTGAAGTCATTTTAACATTGTTCTCTGAATGGCACATAGCCTTGCATTCTTGTATTCATTGATAGTTCTACGTTGCAGCAAATATAACACGGTACTTTTACATTTTCTCCTCCCAGGTAGCATCAGGGCATGTAGAGCTGCAGCATTGAAATGCGATGAATTGAAATTTCAGCAATACCAGTCGTTGGCCGGAGCTCGCGTTACACCAGAGATTCAGCAGCAAATGCAGAACTATCTAGACAAGATCAAAGTTTTGGAACACTAATATAAAGAAGTGGACCTTGGTCCTAACTCAAGCTCAAAAACTAGCTCCTTCCCTCTCTTGAATTGCAAACACCTGTCGAGATTCCCTAGGGCATCGACTGCATCCCCTTTCCGACATCAGATTTACCAGCAAAAGCCTACAATGCCTCGCAATGCCTCATTAACATATGTGACATGTGCTTGTGCGAAAGTAAAGCACGTTAGCTGGTTAAAATTTGTGTTCTCAATTGTCAACTGTACATTTGCCTTTAGAACTTGATTAAATTGAAGGTACATGAAGATAAATTTGGGATTTACCATGTTTCATTGCCTGGCTTGCTTGCCAAAATTTATTCCAATTTTCTTTATATAGGAAAAGCAGGGAGCAGTTAACCGCCAATTGGAGGTAGAATATACTCTTTCTTTTGTTTTTTTCTTTAGCTTTTGTTGGGTTACTTTCTCGAGTTATAAGACTGTTGAGTATACTGATAATAATGCCATCTACACCATGGCTTCTTTCAATTATAATAATTTTAAAATTATATAATATGCTTATAAATTAGGCTGCAAAGTTACATAATGAATGTGTAAGGTAATAGAAAAGACACGAGAAGGTAAGATAGTTGTGAGGTAATGAAATTTTAAGGATTAGCTAGTTTTATTTATCATTAATAACTCAATCAACGAATCCTTGCAAGGTTATGAGGACTAAAAGTGTAAAATTGCATATTATAGGAGAATCAACATAATTTTGCCAGTGAGGTTGTTGGGGCAAGTGGATAAATATAGGAATAGGAATAAGGATAACTTTGTCCATATATTAATTATTACTATGTAGGCATTTGGACATAAAAATTATAATTTTTGAAAAAAAAATAATATTTGGAGTTAAGTTGAAATATGGTATTTGTAATTTAAAATTATGTTTGAACCTGAATTCAGTTGAATAAATGTTGCAGTTTTGTGAGTGGAAAATTTTTTTTTTAAAAAAATTGCAAAATTTCATAATGAAACAAATTTTTAAGGAATTTTCTTTTTTGGACAATCGGGGCCATGAAGAACATAAGTGTGTGTATGATTTTCATTGTATAGGGGCCTTAAGTATTTGATTTAATAATATAGGGGGTGTAGTTAAAATTAAATGATATTATAGGGATGTTATTGTTAAAAATACCTCGCCTGAAAAATATACGAGGTGCTTTAAAATAATATTTACCCTCACCGGCGACCCAAAGCCCTCCGCCAGACTCCACCGTCACCGCAACGGGGAGTCCACCTTCCCCGCCGTGCCGCTGCTGCCTGCGCGGTGGCCCGTGTCTTTTCCACCACCAAATTACAGTAAGTCGCTCGAGTTCCAGCAATAATTGTTTTTTACATACTTAATTTTCTGTTAAATTAAAAGCATTGGTGAAAATTACTAGTCTTCCTTGCAAAATCTAGCTTTGTCCCAAAACTTCCACTCTCTGGTCATTTTGAGTTTGTTCAGTAAAAAATTTGGCTTTAAAATTTCAGTAACCGTTAAAACGTGATCGTATAAAGTTTTTGTTCTTGAATGAGCTTCAATGCAGATTTTTGATTTTTATGATCGAGTATATTCACAAAATATGGTGTTAAAAGATGATAAATATTGCTATTTTATCTTGTTATGATTATTTTTGTAGCTTGAATTGACATAAGAATGAGGTCCATATTCGAGGACACATGTAAATGGATGATGTATATTTGTGATCTTAGTAATATTGTTGAGGGTTTATATTTTGCTTTAGGTTGTCATTATTATTAACTTTTTTCCGCTCGAATAACCTGAACCTAACGGCTTGTTTGGATGGTTGGTACCTATTGTATTGCATCGTGTTGTTACTTTAAATACAATGTTTGTTTTGATTGTTACTTAAATTTTATTAGTATATCATGTCGTTAAATCTATCGTTATGTAACAACGTAAAGTGACACTTTATGGAATGACCGATTCAGTGTGGTCGCATCGTTACCTTATTTTTTCTTTTATCTTGCCCTTCCTTATTATGAAATAATCTTATTAACTTTTACCCTACCTTTTTATATAATAATTCTATCTCATATATTACTTTTTCTTTATTATATTACAAGTTTATTCTACATATAACATGTTGGTGCATGACATCATGAAACGCCGGCAATCAATACAGTCTATCCAAACATTATATACATCAAAACGATACAGTACAATACGATAAATTATGAAATGATACATAACAACCATCCAAACAAGCTGTAAGCTAAAATATACCAAATGAATCAAATGTATACCCTATATGTACATAGCAAAGCGTCTATATATGTTCAAAGCAATGTGGCTCCTGGAACTTCCAAAAGGGTAAATTTTATAAATGGTAAAGACAATACTAAGAAAGTGCATCTAAATTTACATATTGTGCAACTCCCCGATCATATCTAACAAGGAATACTTAAGAGGAGTGCAATGTTCTCTTTTGAGATCTTTTTAACATTGTTCTCTCAATGGCGCGTAGCTTTATGTTCTTGTATTCGTTGATAGGTCTACATTGCAGCAAATATAACGCAGTACTTTTACATTTTCTCCTCTCAGGTAGTATCAAGGCATGTAGGGCTGCAGCATTGAAATGTGAGCAGTACCAGTTGTTGGCCGGAGCTCGCCTTACACCAGAGTTTCAGCAGCAAATGCAGAACTATCTAGAGAATATCAAAGTTTTGGAACACTAGTGTAAAGAAATAGACCTTTTGCATAACTCAACCTCAAAAGCTAGCTCCTTCCCTCTCTTGAATTGCAAACACCTATCGAGACTCCAAAGAACATCGACTGCATCCTCTCTTGGATAGCATATTTTACCCGCGAAAGCCTACAGTGCCTTACAATGAGCCAATGCTCAAGTGTTTTCTCCAGCCATTGTCCAACAACCTGGTTATTTCATTAAATTATGTGACACATGCTTGCGCGAAAGAATACCTACTAACATTAGATTCTCTTTTTGTTAACTTTGACATGATGCCATTTAATACTTGCCTGTAGTATCGTTGTGATAATGACAATGCTCTCATTTTATCATTCTTAAAGTACTATTGGAAAAATAGCAGTGTCGCAGAGCTAAGAACTCTTGTTTGTATCATAGGAAATGAATGAAGAAGAGCCAAAGCTAAAGAGGTGAAAATTAGTGAGGGATTTGCTTTTATTTTCCATTGTTTTATTAGTAATTTGAAGAGTATTTGATAGCTCAAAGAAATTTATTTGCTATATATTTATCTATAAACAAACAGAATTGCTGGCTATTCAGACAAGATGCTAAGCCAGTGAAGGTATGTTTAAAATTGGTTCATTAAGGATCAAAGCAAGCTATTGCCTATTAACCACAAAGAAAGCTGCTAAAAATATCCGAAAGAGATTGAATCAATTGGCTCTAGAACTCCATATGAGATTGAATCTACAGTACTTAAGAGTGAAAAATAATTTGTATCCAATTCAAAACACTACAGACCTGGAGCAATTAGATTTAAAATTTTGATCTGTAATATGAGAGACTTTTTAATCTGTAAAAATCTTTTAACCGTGATTTTTCAAATATTATCCAGCCCGAATAGGATTTTAAGACTCGCTTAAATATAAATTCAAGTTGAACCATACAAACATGAAGCTTAGCTTGACTCATTTTGAATCTCACTCTTTGAGAGCCTTATTAGGTCTTTGGATAATATTTGGTTAAAGTTAGAAAAAAAAAATCTGAAAAAAGATTATTTAGAAGTTGAAGTTGACATGAATAACTTCATTTAAAAGGTTGAAGATTTGTTAATAAAATTTATTATTTTACTTGAAATAGTTTTCTAACAAGTTTTTCAATATTGTTACTGTACGTTCGACATCGATTACACCAACTCTCATACAAGCTCCCGGCGGTTCATTCATTTGACCATAAATCAAGGCTACTTTTGATTTTGCACTATTTTCTTTAATCACTCCAGATATGAAGTTTAAAGAAAAATAATTATTGATAAAAGAACTTCAATTTATTTGCTTAATAGACAGGCAAATTGAAAAAAAATCATAACAATATTTATTTAACAATAAAATACTTCGAAAAGTACACATATGGCAAAAAGATTTTATTAAAAAAGGAATAAGTCGATTAACACAAGGGGATGTAGCTCAGATGGTAGAGCGCTCGCTTAGCATGCGAGAGGTACGGGGATCGATACCCCGCATCTCCACTTTTTGAATTATCTAACCTAACGTTTTTATATCTATATTTTTTCCTCTTTTAAAGATGGTGTAGATTATATTTTTCTTTAAATTGATTTTATCCGGTCAGATAAAATGGAATGGACGGTATATAGAAAGGGTAAAAAAAGGGGTCTGCATTTAGGAGTAGGAATCCGCGTGTTCATTTTTTTTCCTCCAATTGTTGGGCTTAAATTGAGCGAACTCAAGTCCGCCACAAAAATCTAAGTAAGATTGGCACAAAGTTCAATGCATCACACGTTAGATAAGAAATTACCAAGAAATAATCCCCACCCACCCACCTACTCCATTACCCCATCAAAATCTTCAAAATAGTGATAATAATAATCTAATACAAGGGTGGATATATCTTCAACAAAGACAAGAACTCTGTTTTTTCACTGACACCCTATTGCCAATAATTGACTTAGAATCGTCTTTCTTTATATCTGAACATTTATCTGATCCAAAAGTACAATCTTGAATATACCCAAATAAAGGAAAACTCAAGATCTTAAGTTTTTTAAAGTATAAGAAATCATGGGAAAAACAACAAGGAAACTGGAAGTGGTTTCTCCTGTACCAGCAGATATAGATATTGCTAATTCTGTTGAACCTCTTCATATTTCTGAGATTGCTCAAGAACTCAATCTTAATCCCCAGCATTATGATTTATATGGCAAGTATAAAGCAAAGGTAATACCTCTTTTCATAGGTTATTATTGTATGCAGATTCATGTGTTAAGATATGTTTTACTTCTGTTTGGTTTTTGTTAGTACCCTATTGTTTTTGTAGATTTTGGTTTACTTTGGTATCATGTTTATATGTGTAATAGTTGGCATTCGGTTTTTATTAAAGCCTAATGAAAGAAAACTCAGAGTTGAGATTACAAAAGATTTCAATTGCTGATACTATGGTTTCATGTGAGCCTCATTAATTGTACAATTGTAAATTATTTTTTTGTTTCTGTTATGTTATACTTTTCTGCATTAAGTGCTTTGTGAGATTTTGCTTGGTCTGGGGATGCATGGATGTGGTTCCTTTTGTGTTTTGGATAGAAAATGAAGTTGATTACTGCAGCACTGCTATGTAGTCTATTACCTGACTTCTTAGCCAATGTAAAAAAGAAAGATTTAGGGGTATTCATATGCTATAAAAATACTTTTTTTGTCACCTATTCATAAAAAAAATACTATCTTTCTTTGCTGAATGATTATTACATGTGGGGTACTTCGATTTTGCAGTTTCTCAGGGTTGAATTTCTTAGAATGAGGTCTTTTAGTTGAAAACAAGTATGCATAAGAGGATATGAATGTGACATCTGCTTTTGTGTATTGCTATTAATATGTTGGCTTTTCTTTTATGGTTGGTGAGTTGATATGCTGTACTTGTTGTGATTCCAGGTGCTGTTGTCAGTGCTTGATGAGGTTGGAGGAAGTGAGGACGGGTATTATGTGGTGGTTGGAGGGATAACTCCAACCCCTCTTGGAGAAGGGAAGTCCACTACCACGGTCGGTCTTTGCCAGGCTTTAGGAGCTTTCCTTGATAAAAAGGTAACTTGAATTCTCTATAGGATGTCTGTCTCATAAAATTAGAGAAATGAATGGTTCTCTGTATCTTATATGTGAAGAAATATGGTATATTATTTGGTTTTGCTGGATATCAGAGAAAAGTTGAAAAATATTCATGTTATGGCTTTTTTCTTCTAGCTGATGACAAATTTTGAGAAGTTGGATAGATAAAACAGGTGTTTTTCATTTGAGGTATCAGAATCAAGATTTAGATTCCGTTATTCGAGTCAGAGTCTTCATTTTTGAAGATATCCTTTTTGGCTTGTATATTGGTGCTACTTGGCCCTCTCCTTATAATGCGATTAAAAGAGAATTCTTGACAGAGGAAAGTTTTGGTTCTTTTTTGCTGAATCTCTCCCTCCTGAATTTCGCTCATTTCTTCCTTTTTTATCCTAATTTTCTTAGAGACTGTAACACCCCATCTAGCTTTCAAGTCAATCTGGTATACTTGAAGGATTATATTTGCAAGTAAAGTTAAATCAGTAACTTATAGCTGACTAAATGATGTCCATGCATTTTTATTTTTTTATAATAATGCACTATGATTGGTTTTATGTTATCCTGATAAGAAGTCATTATCAATGTCAGCGTTTGCATCCTAGATATGCTGTCTATTTTTTTCTATGACCAGTTTCCTTTCCTGGTGCTCTCAGGTTGTCACGTGTGTCCGCCAACCATCACAAGGACCAACATTCGGAATCAAGGGTGGTGCTGCCGGAGGTGGTTACAGTCAAGTGATACCAATGGATGAGTTCAATCTTCACTTAACAGGAGATATTCATGCAATTACAGCAGCAAATAACCTTATGGCTGCTGCCATTGATACGCGAATCTTCCACGAATCTTCGCAGTCTGATAAGGCTCTCTTTAACCGGTTATGCCCGCTGAATAAAGAAGGTAAACGGAAGTTCTGTGACATAATGTTTAGGCGTTTGAAGAAACTTGGTATTGACAAGACGGCCCCTGAAGACCTTACTCCTGAAGAGATCAATAAATTTGCTAGGCTAGATATAGATCCCGCTTCCATCACATGGAGAAGAGTTATGGATGTCAATGATAGGTTTTTGAGAAAAATTACCGTAGGTCAGGGCCCCGAAGAGAAGGGGATGGTACGGGAGACAGGATTTGATATTTCAGTTGCCAGTGAAATAATGGCAGTTCTAGCCCTCACGACATCACTAGCTGATATGCGAGAGAGGCTGGGGAAAATGGTAGTCGGGAATAGCAAGGCTGGTGATCCAGTTACGGCTGATGATCTTGGGGTTGGAGGCGCTTTGACCGTCTTGATGAAAGATGCCATTAACCCTACTCTTATGCAGACTCTTGAGGGCACTCCTGTTCTTGTTCATGCTGGTCCTTTCGCAAATATTGCGCATGGAAATTCATCTATTGTTGCTGACAAGATTGCATTAAAGCTCGTCGGACCTGGTGGCTTTGTGGTTACAGAGGCTGGCTTTGGTTCTGATATTGGGACAGAGAAGTTTATGAACATCAAATGTCGATATAGTGGCTTGAAACCTCAGTGCGCTGTTATTGTGGCCACTGTAAGAGCCCTTAAAATGCATGGTGGAGGACCTGACGTCACAGCTGGAAGGCCTCTTGACCGTGCCTATGTAACTGAGAATGTTGCACTAGTGGAAGCCGGTTGTGTGAATCTGGCCAGGCACATTTCAAATACAAAAGCTTATGGTGCAAATGTTGTGGTTGCCGTCAATGCGTTCGCAACTGACACTGAAGCAGAACTAAATGCAGTTAAAAATGCTGCATTTGCTGCAGGAGCATTTGATGCAGTAATTTGTACTCATCATGCTCATGGTGGCAAAGGAGCGGTAAGTCTTTTGTGCAATCATTGCACTTCTATGGAAAAATAAAATGATGTTTTGAGTAGAAGGTTGAGTACCAAACAAAATACACATGCTAAAAAACTCTAAATTTTCAGTTAAGAGAAGCATATATCCAAATTGACAATATAAGTTTCTGCAGAATATTTGGTTCGGGATTAACTAAATATCCTAACGATTCCATTATAGAGCCAACAGCGCATACATGATTGGCTGTCAGTTAATTGGTCCTTGGCGTGAAGCTAATTTGTTTTAGTCATAATGGTTGACATAATTATTTGTTATTTAGTTTTGCTTTTCTGGTTGTCTGCTGTTTACCAGTTTAGAAGTATTAATCAATTGCACATTTTTTATTAGTTTGGATCTAGTTTACTAATTTGTAGCTCTTGCACTTTGACATGAATTTATGTGATGTAATGGTCGTATGACAGTATGATAACCTCTAAGTTGTTTTTTCCTCCATCCTTATTTTGGACAAAAACATGAAAGAAACATGTAAATTTGTTGTGTTGACCCTTTTGCTATGGGGTTTACTAGTTGATAATAT